ATAAATGCATGATTTATAAAAGAACGCAAATTAAAAGTTCCTGGGCATGTGATGGGAAAACATTTATTAAAATTGGGAGAACGCATCTACTCGGGCTGCAGCTGAACTAAATTAATACTTGGCTGCCCCCTCAAATCTGCTGGAATACACACATGCCTGGTTACTCCTTCAATTAGTTCTGTAAAACCAGCAAACAACAGCTGTAGTAATAAACTTCTACTACTCTGCAATGTCATTATCACCTAAGAAAAGAAGTTTCCTTTTAAGATTAAAAGAGGTGTTGATACACCTTATCAGATTTCTAGAAATCATCTATGCCTTCATCCATACTTCAGATAGAAACTATTTCCTACAGCTGGTTGAAGCAATTGTTCAGACTACTGTCCTTTCAAACAGGTATATGGATGAAAATAATCTTTTCCTTTTCCCCTCCCCATTTCTACACTGTGGGAACTGTGGAAAAAAGCAGAACAACATGCCAATGGCTAGTACTTACGCAGCTGCAAGAAAAAGGCGGCAGTCACTCTCACAGGTTTTAAACAGATCTATTTTTTAAGCTGGAAAGCACGTTTATATTCCCATCTAATTTGAAAAATGAAAGCCCCCATGCCACTTCTTGTGTCCCAGCAAGAACAGCAGTCATAGTTGGAAGTGTAGTACTCCTTCTGCCCTTAAACAATCTTCAAACTACTGCTTAAAATTAAAATATTTATGAATATCAGAAGTCTTATGAACAAAAGAAAAATCTATAGTAAACCTGACTCTAACTACTGTGTTTACAAAGTACTTAACGAAACCTAAAAGCTTTTATAAAGTACACTTCAGGCCGAAGGAACTTTTCTGGAAAAGCATTTTATTTCAAGTCCCATATAAGCAATAGCTGATACGAAATAGCACTTGTATTCTTCTCTGCTCATCTTCCTTCCCATCAATAAATTATTTTAGAATAGGTACTATTTTAAGACCAATGCACCATTTTTTTCTGGATGCCATCACAACACAGGAAGCAAACTGAACCTCCAAGTCATGTAGTCAGCACAGTTTACAGAAAAATTACCTTGCAGATTTTGGATCAAGGTTACTGAAGTAGACCAGGATATCCTGCTCTCACTTCCACCACTGAAATGATCTGCAGCAGATCTAGTGTAAAAAAACTTACAAGTTGAAGGAAACACAGGTGATTCAAAAAACCACGCTACAAAGGCCCAATGCAAAATTAAAAGGTTGATGAGTACATGTTATGCTTCTTACAAAATATTTGTAAGTTTCATGCCAGTTATTTATATGTCACTAGAAAACATTTTACTACTCAGCAATGCTTTACAGGGAGCAGCACAAATGACAAGTGGAAAGTCAAGATGAAAGCATCTGGTACTGTTGCAACTGACATGCAGCAAGGGAGATGACTTGAGGCTGCTCCAGGAACGTTAACTCCGAATTTCTTTGTTTTCTTACAATTAAGATTTCAAGACCTCATGTAATTCACCACATCAGTCAACACGTCTGTGCAACTCTAAGAGATCAGAAACTTCACTCAGCCCTGGAAGCAAAGGTACTTCCCTAACCCATAATGCTAAGAGCACCCAGAAATATCTTAAGAACCTGAAGGTACTGCCACTACCTACTTCTCTATTTCCTCTGTAGACATAAAGATGACTTCAGCATCTAGGGCTGGAAAGACAGCATCTCCGATGTGGACCTTTTTTAACCCTATAGTTTAATAATGCTTCTTATGGTATCTTACAGGTGGGAAGCTGCAAGATACAACCAACACATACTGAAATGAAAACCTGGTCTGTAAGGATTGTGTTAAACAAAATTGAAAGCTCTCATATCTCCCAATAAATTCTTCCCAAAAAAACCCAACCAACCAAACAAACAAACCCACCAAAACAAACAAACAAACAAACAAAAAACCAAAACACAAACCACCCAAAAAACAAACACAGGGAACTTCTTAAAAAAAGAAAACTACATTTTTCTTCCACATTGCAAGGCTTCCAGATAAGGTGGTGAGGGGAAGGAAATTAGATGATCTTACCCAGAGGCAAGCATCATGTACAGTACCTTGGAAAAAAACAGGGAAAAATATTACACAAGTCAGCTGGCTCAGCAAGGATTAAGAAATACCTTGATAAACAGCTAATGATATGAAAGGCAAAGCTTTTGGCTCCAGCTCAGAAAAGTAATTACTCCCATCTGGGCACACAAAACCCCAAGAAGGGCTATAGTTTCACACGGCACAGGAAAATTTTCACAGCCTTACCGTCTTTCTTTCACAGCTCCATTGGGTGGGTGTACACCAAGTAATATTTAAGCCAATGGCTAAAAGTATACAAGACTATAAACAATGTTCTCACAGGGCACAGGTTACCTTTCCTTCCCATCAATGCATGAAGCTGATGGAAATAGAAAACAAACTTTAAGTGGTTGTGCTACCGTGAAATCCCACTGATACAGATGGGCCTTTACAGAGCATTTAACTACTTTTTCCTCACACATACATATACCTGATTAAATAGTCAACCACAACAGAGCTTTATAAGGGGTTTCTTCAACAACCCCTGACATTTTGAAGAAGCCACCAAACTTTCAAAAATACATCAGCAAATTCTGCATTCAAAAACCACTGTAGAGTAAGAAAAAGCCTTTGCCCATTCTCACAAATATAGTCAGGTCTCCTTTCATAGCACAAGGCTTAAGTCAAGAGAGGTTTGCTTTCACTGGGAAAACTTTATTCT